GCGCATATCTGACAAACGTTGTTGTTCTAGAAGATATTAAGCCTTGTGAGATTGAGAAGAATATTTATATTTCTTTTGTAAACATCTAGCCTGTGCACATCCTGTATTACCCTGTACTACAGGGTAATACAGGATGTGCACAGGCTAGTAAACATCCAGACGGCGAGAAAGATATTCGGCTGAATCAGCAATGTTTGTGGTTAACTTCCGTTTCCTGACTTCCTCTGTATTTTAGTTCTTATTTCCGTTTCCTTTCGATTTATATTTTTGACTTTTCGATTTATTTTTATGAGCCGCGGCTTTGACTTATCATTTGGGAGTTTCGCTTTATAAATAGAAGTTTGGACTTGCGTTTAATTTTCATATATATCCTTTGAGATTTGAAATGTATTTTGCATTTTTCAAGTACATGCTTTAAACTTTCGTTTTATTTTTTTGAGTTTGAACTTCATCTTGATATTTTCAACATTATATTGAGAGTTATAACATGTTTATATGATGTTTGAATATTACTTATTGACTTTAAATAATTTTGACCGGAACGGAACGCCATACGTTTTTGAGATGGAATTTTCAAACGCAAATTTATATACATTTTAGACATAACCAAGAGCAGTTGCGAAAAATGCAACTATACAGGGTGTATCAAAATAAACGCAATTCATCTTTTGTGCTTAATAACTTTCGAAATACTATTTCTAGTTAAACGCTTTTAGGCTTACTTCAAAGCCTGTTCTTTTCTCTTTCAAACAAACTATTATCCTTGTCTCCAATGCTAGTAATAATTGCACAGGAAAAGATTTAGTAAACCTATCATTTTTAGTTGCTGTTTAATTATGCAAGTTTACTATGTTATTGTTTAGTCGGTTTAAATGTTAGAATTTTCTTCTTTAAACTTTAATGTTGTCGTCACGACATCTGGAAAACCACGTAAGAACAAATTAAAAGTATTTTAAAAGATACCAGGTTGTTTGAAAATCCTAAACGAATGCTAAAAATCGTCAAAACATTCTGGTGTCTGAGCCAGAGTGTCATCGAATTGCAATGTAATGTAAACAGAAATTCTAGCAAGTTGATGTCAGTCAGCTTAGATGGCCAAGCCAAAATTATATCGCATTTGAAGTTTCAAACTGAGTTAAAAATAGTGGAAGAAAAGCCGTAATTATACTTATTGTTACAATCCATTTAATAAAATGCAACATTTGTTTGTTTTAATGAAAAAATCAGTTATTTTCATGAGAACGATTTGTTATCCATCTCAATTTTTTTAATCTCCAATCGCAATAACGTAAAGTATTATTACCCGCGAACCAATGAGTCAAATTTAAGAAACAACCCACTGTTAGAAAGCTGAATGGCTACGCTTTAAAATGAATGTAAACTTTAACGTTTTCGTCTATTATTTGTTTAGCAATTTACATTTCAGTCGAGGATTGCGCTTTTTTTGATACACCCTGTATAAAGATATATGGAACCTCATATCGAGTACTCGCGAATATCAATCATCAAATTACAACACACTACTGATTTACAACACATATGACACATTACTATTATTATACAACTGCTTCACACCATAGAACATGACTACAGCATAACATACCCATATGCTCTCCACTTAATGTGCACGCGTGATTTGGCGTGGCACCTAACGGAATCTCGGGCAATAATTCCGGGTATTTATGACGTAGGTAAGGATAATGTCTTCGTGTGTGCGAGGGAAGGATAGGCGCAATCGTAGGACTGTTCAGTGCAGCATTAAGTACAATCACGACCATCCCTACATAAGCAGGATCATCCACGTCAGGCTCGGAAGTAGCGAAGAACGGATGAGTGGATAATAGTTCAGGGACAAGAGACACTGCGATGTTCTGGTGTTGATTTCCCAAGTGCTTTAAACAGCTTTAAGTAGAAGAAAATACATGTTATAAATAAAGCAATAAAACGGTACAGTATAGCGTGTTTTTTTTAGATCGAAATCTTTGTCAGATAAATAAGTAAAATAATCGAGCTGATTTTCACAACAGAAAATCAACTCATTATATATCTAATAACGACAGGCAAACTTTACTTAATTTATAATGGAAAATCTCGATTAATGTCCAATGCACAAATGGAAATGTTCAACGGACATTTCAGTTTGTCGATGCAATGGACAAAATAATGAACATTTGAAATATGTAATGGACATTAATATAATACGATCATTGAGAAAATTAAACCCCATGCTGGTATAGCCATCCATCCTAATCAGGAGGAATTTCGTTCTCGGCCAATCAGCGCATTTGTTGACAATTTCGCTCTGAGCCAATCAGAATGCGTAATTGGTTACTGTAGGTAGTTTCTCCACAAGCACAGAAAGCTCACTTCCGGTAAAGACATACATTTGAATAGAAAATTTAGGGTCTTAAATTAAACTTTGAGGGGGTCAGGATTTTAAATTTTTTTGACTGGATTCAATGTGACGAGGTATTGCATCTTGAAGACCCTCATGGGCGACTAATGTTTTGTTGCTACATTTGCAACACAATTAGTATCACAGAATTTGCATGTACGTACAATATGAAATTTTTCGTCTGATCGTCTTGGTAACTCATGCACTCGCGCATGCTTTTTTCAAATTGCAGCCGTTTACGCAACGTCAAAGGCCCCGACAAGAAGTCCTGAGACTTCGGTAAGTGTTTATATGTCCTTAAAGCTCTCCAATTAGTTTGCCAAAACGTGCGGAACATCACGTCGGATTGTGTGGATTTTGATTGTTTTTTGCTATTTTTAGACATTGAATCAAAGAGTGTTTCTGGAAGATTTTTAATTCTATGGAAGAAACACAATGTCAAAAACGGATGGAAATTCATAGGGATTCCTCTCTCAGGAATTTAAGTCAAACTAGGCTACTACTGCATGTATATATGGACTAAAATATAGTAAGCAAAAAAGACAAATGTAACAATCATCGATTTCGACGAAGTTATCATTTTTATTCTTGTGAAGCCATTATAGTCTCGTTTGTTATATGATGTAATGGTTTTAAAATGAACATATACAGGGTGTATAAAAAAAAGCGCAACCTCGGAATTTCCCAAGAAATCGACATTGTTTTAAAGACAAAAGATTTTAGGCGCCTGGGAATTTAAAATAGCATAACTGTCAAAATTACTGCACACGCGAGTGCATAAAGCAAAATTTATGCATTTATTTAATGCACAACAACAGTAATATGATCTATTAGCAATTCGATTTCAATTCCCAGGGGCCTAAAATCTTTTATGCTTAAGAATTGCAAACTGATTTCTTAGGAAATTCCGAGGTTGCGTTTTTTTTTATACACCCTGTATAATTATGGAGCTCGGGAGCTGAAAACATGCATTAAGCATACAAAGAACTTACTCTCAGTGTAAATGAGACAATTGTTTAATATTAAAATTTCGCTTAAAAAAAATTCATAAGAAATCTACAGGGTGTATAAAAAAAAACGCAACCTCGGAATTTCCTAAGAAATCACTTTGCAATTCTTAAGCATAAAAGATTTTAGGCCCCTGGGAATTGAAATCGAATTGCTAATAGATCATATTACTGTTGTTGTGCATTAAATAAATGCATAAATTTTGCTTTATGCACTCGCGTGTGCAGTAATTTTGACAGTTGTGCTATATTAAATTCCCGGGCGCCTAAAATCTTTTGTCTTTAAAACAATGTCGATTTCTTGGGAAATTCCGAGGTTGCGTTTTTTTTTATACACCCTGTATATATATATATATATATATATATATATATATATATATATATATATATATATATATATATATATATATATATATATATATATATATTTACAGGGTGTATCAAAAAAAAGGAGACCTTTAGAAATCAAGCATATTGTTAAAATTTGAATCCTTTTTCAATTGCACATATGCTGAACCGTGGTGCGCGAAATATTGATGGATGCATATATTAGAAAAAGGAGACCTTTAGAAATCAACTATTGTTATAACTTGAATCCTGGAGCACTTTGCTAAGCCCACGAGTGAGTAACATGCGATCTACGTACCGTATGCATGGCAGGTTGTTCCCAGGAGCAGACAATCTTTTGTTTAAACGTTATTTCAATTTCTAAAGGTCTCCTTTTTCTAATATATGCACCCCATCAATATTTCACGCACTACGGTTCAGCATATGTGCAATTGAAAAGGCATTCAAATTTTAACAATATGCTTGATTTCTAAAGGTCT